CCCTGGCGGCCTCGGACCCCGTCCGGAGCGCGTCGGCCCTGAACGGGAGAAGTTTCAGAACCCCGGGCCGGCCCTCTGTGGAGCCCCCGCTCTCTCTTCTCTCCCTTCTCTCCTCTCAGCGCCGCCACCCCGCGGTTCTAGAGATGCTTAGGGGGATTCCTGCAGTGATGTATGAAGGACGAGCGAAAGGACTCTTGGTTGGAGAAAGGCATCATACTTAAGCGTCCACCCGCACTTAGCAGACGACTGGCCCCCGACGCCTCTTGGTGTGGGGCCGGCCTGACCTGCCCCTCGCAGCTCCTCTCGCGCGGACTCCGTGTAATTGCGGGCGACCAGCCCGTGCAGCGGTCCGCAGGCCTCGGGGCTCTGTGCTGGTGGACTGCTGGACTTATGACTCCCGTGTGCCGGGTCATCCCCCGAGGACGGATGCTGTACCGGGCCCTGAGGTGGGCGGAGGAGGTCGGGCAATTAAATTGAGGCTCTTTTGTGGGGAGGAAAGAGCAGAAGTGAAGGAAATCTGCTTCTCCTGAGCCCTAACCAGTACACGTTGGGGTTCTGACCCTCCGATGATCAAGATGATCAATCACTTCCTCCTCCAAGCCCAGTCCCCGCTGAGACATGTTTGCCTGTGCCTGGAGAGGCTGTCCCTGCTGCGCGGAAGCCGGTTCAGCAGCCGGTTCACGGTTTTGACAGCTTCCTTCAGCGAGCCCTGGGGGGCTTTGGGCTCTTTTAGGCTCAGTAAAACACCTTCAAATTCATTGGTTTTTCGCAGGGATTTTTGTTGTTGGAGTTTTTTTTTGTTTTTGTTTTTGTTTTTTTAATTCACAAGTGAAGCGGGAAACATTTGGCTAGTCTTTTAAAAATACACCTTTGCAGAATTAGAGGCTGTTTATTCTGTGGATTGTTAAAATGTTTCTAAAACTGCTTATAACGAAAGCATTTTGTGAATCTTTGTCTACCACTATTTCATCAGTACAGTTGGGAGACTTGAGGATTCTCCCCTAGGCAGCCAGCCAGTCAGGACAGTGCAAGAACTGAGTTTCTGTTTATGGGGCACATAATCATTGGATCTTCCCAGATAGTTAGGGTGCAGTCGGTTTTTACTATTTTCTCTTCCTCCTGGTTCCTGATGTTCAAGCCCTCTGGCGTTTCCATATTTCCCAGGTCCCATCTCTCATCCTCTTTGTCCTTCTGCTTGAGGTGTTTTCTTCTAGATCTTTCTTTATTCCCGAATCCATCACTTGCCCCTCCTGATTCTGGTAAAAGCACCAACATCTGAAAATTGCTGCATCAACCAAAGTGCTTTCCTTTGCTGCTAGCACTAGCATGTGTCACTAAAACTAGAGAACGGGGTGAGCTCAGGAGGCCCAAATGTTAAAGCCGCCAACAGAAAGAGAAAATAGAATTTTCTTTGGCCCTCCACATACTGCCCAGCCCCAGTGGGAAGAGCTCTGTCTGTACAGACAGCCCCTAGGTGCCCTTGCCTCTTCTCCAGGGTCCAGACAGAAATCCTGTGGAAGGCCTGAGCAGAAAAAGAGACTTTTACCGCGCAGGGAGGAATTTTTGTCTTTCTCTTTCTCTGCCTTTGGTGCAGTGGCAGCAGCTGAGGCAGAAGCTGAATGATGTCACTGCTGGACTGGGCTTAGAGCTGTCAGTGTTTGCAGGAGCGGAAGGGAGCCCATCTTGGAAGTGTGGCAGGGGCAAAGAAGGCCACCTATGGCATTCTCTGCACCAGTGGCCCAGGGACGTTGGCTTCCAGGCCTGGCCCCTCCACAGCTGTAGATAATGGGTTTGGAAAAAGACCATGAAGAGCCCATCCAGCCCTGGCATTTCGGGGATGGTTCCTGGGACCTGTGGCAGAGGTGAGATTCAGCCTCAATGGTAGCAGCTGTGCTTTTGAAAGATTTGACTTCAGTCCTACATTAAGTTAGTTTTGTCAGCCTCTCTCTGACAATCTGCTTGCCACTTGTCACGTAGTACGAGGTGCACAGTTCTGATCACAGTAAATATTTATTAAATGCATCAAGCCAGGGAGGTGCCGGGTACAAATCCCAGATCTAGCACGTATGAGTCATGGGGCCTTGGTTGTGTCATTTAGCTTCTTTTGGACTAGGCTTCAGCATCACGTGATGGAGATAACATCTTTCTAGACTGTAGGCTTCAGAAACAATGTAAATCCCCAGCGCACTGCCTTCACTACGTAGATTTTCAATTCATGGTGTGTGTTATTTTTTTATTTGAAGATTATCATTTTTTTCCTCAGGTCTGAGGCTATTTCAGGGCATGGGTAATAATCAGTAGTAGCCACAGACTTAGTTGAGGCCTGTAGCACCAACTTGATCTCTTAGGAGTCAGTCCCTTCAGTTAACAGATACCCGGGAACCCGGGGGTGATTCCATTCCTCGGCCCTGCAGACCCCTGGGGTCCTTTCTCAGAGGAGCTTGGACATGTTCTGAATGGCCCATGCTCAGAGAATGGTCCTTTATCAGGTTGGTTCCCCCACACCCAGGTGTGCCTGCATTTTATTTGATCTAAGCTGCCTTCAGCTCTATCTGGGTGAGATCTTATCTTGTCAGAGAAGTTCTTCCAAACCACCCTGCCCCTGAAATTGCTTTTCCTTCCTCTGAGAACGTTACTTACTCCTCTTAATGCTCACAGGACACTTATTTAAGAGTTATATGGTTGCCATTTCATTATTTCAGTCTGATCCCCCAGCTAGGTTTTTTATAGTAAGGACCTTCTAGATCACCTCTCTACAGTAGCAGCTAACATGCTTTATAGTTTACACGAGTGTGTTGCATAGTTTACTATGTATTCTCCTAGACACTCTCACTGTGGTCCCCTTGGTCACGCAGTGGAGGAAGAAAGCTTATATTACTCAGAGAAAGCTTTTATTAATCCAGGCCATTTTGTGCTTTTTATAATGTGGGGAGTAGCTCAGATTTTAAACCTGGGTTGTATTTCTATGAAGTAACCCAAGCGACAGTAGAGAGAGAATTAACTATATGCCCAGATGTTACCAGCTGCAGCGCCATCACTGTTAAGTCTTAAAGTATGGATCTGTGTGTTTTTGAATAGGAAAATAAAATACTTCACTTTCCTAAATCACCTGCCAAATGACTCTTAACAAGTCACACACATAAAGCCAAGTGTGAATACAGGAAGATATGTTGAACTCCTAAGCCATATCCAGATCTAAGTTTTACCCTTCACAGTTTACCTCTCATAGCTTAGCTTTCATTTTTAACTGTTAATGACCCAGGTAAGTACTCCCTGAAATAATATCTAGTGATAAAAATGATCATATGATTACCTATGTTATTAATAATGAAAGTTTCTTAATCCAACCAAGCTTTGGAGGAAAGGCAGAGCCAACTTCACATCTAAACACCACCACCCTAACTTCTCACTCCCTGCACAGCCTTCAGACTTTGACTTAAACCCCCTCCCCAGGTCATCAGAGTCGTTTCTGCCAGGGTACAGTCCTGCCTCTGCCTATCCCTTGGAGGAACTGGGAGACAGCAGGACAGAGCCATCCTCGCACTGGGAATTAAGAGCCCTGGTTGCAGTCCAGAAATCTCACCTGTTATTAGCTGGGGAGATGTCTCTTTAACAGCCAACCAGTCCGTTCCCTGCATTCGCCAAGTGGGAGGGCTAGGGTTTCTATCAGTCCTGCTCGTGGCATTAATTGTCTTATCTCCACTCCTTTTCCCTCCAATCAGCCACCAGAGCTCTGAGCTACCAGTTTGTCCCTAGCTACTCTGCCTGCCCTCACTGCCTTCTCTTTTTTTCCCCAGGAAACCTTACCATGGCTCCAGAGCTGCCCCTAAAACAAGACTAGAGGCAAAACCAGCCAGCAGCCCCTTCCTTTCCCATCCCAGCCTGGCCCAGATCACCCAGTTCCGAATGATGGTGCCCCTGGGACCCTTAGCCAAAGGAGCCAGCCTGGACGACCTCATCGACAGCTGCATTCAGTCTTTTGGTGAGTTGGCCTGCTGCCCACATGCATAGAAATCCTCTCTCACTTTGTTCTTACCTTAAAAAGAGCTTTATAGAGTAGCAATTAGATTGTATTTCGGCTTTAAAAGTAGCTTTTGAGCCTTTGAAATGCTGGAGACAGTTTTCAGTGCCTATGGCACATGACTGTGTGGGTGTCATCGGTCGTGACGAGAGGAGCAGTTTAAAGTGAGAAAAGTTACTGAGCAAAGTTTACATTTCCATTTTTCTTAGGCGGGGAATAGAAAAGATCATGAAACAATATCGTGCACCTGCTTGTCTGACACTTTTTGTGTTCGTGCGTTCTCAGGCAGATTCAGTCTGTGGTCTGCGAGCAAGCACTGTCTTTGAACAGAAATTTGAGAGCCTTTGCATCTTTGGACAAACGGTTCTCCATAATTCGCCTTCCCATCTGGAATTGTAGTTGCTTATGACTAGAAGATTTTGGTTAATAAGCATGGCACTGCAGGGTCAAGGAGCTGGGAGAGGAGCATGCACGCCTGTCTGTGCGTTGGAAATGAATTATCCAAATGCTGCCCTTGGTCAGCACCTGTAATCACCTTGCAGGGTGCATGGCTTAGTGCAGCCAATGAGCAGCTGTCTGAAAAGGTTTATTTTTAATTTGTGAAACAGAGATTGGGAAGAACTTAGTATTTGTTCTATTCCAAGAAAGGAATGGTTGAACTTGATGGACTTCAGTGAAATCTGGGACTTTGAAGATTGTGCCCTCCTGTGTGTCCCCTTTTCTGTTTCTTCATCTCACACTGGGAAGCAGAAGTGTGTGGCTCAGCCCAGGAGCCCCAGCCTGCCCCAGCCCTGGGCACCTCCCAGAGAGCAGAGGGACAGCTTGATCAGATGCTGGGTAGCGCAAGATGTATTAGATCACAGAATGAGGTGCTGTTGGCCGGGCAGGGCTAGTGCTGGGCCAGACTTTATTTATAGAATTGGAAAAGACTTTGACATTTTAGGATTACTTGTTTAGTACAACATCACATCATTTCAGCTGTTTTGACAGTGGCTTCAAGCTGAGGTTCTTGAACATTACTGCATCAGAATCCTGTGGAGTTTTGTTTTTGTTTTAGTAATGCAAATGGCCAGGCCCTACCTGCAAAGTTTCTACTCTAGTACTTCTGGGGCAGGGAGGGACCCAAGAATTTGCATTTCTGCCAAGTTCCCAGGTAGAGCTAATGCAGCTACTCCAAATATGCTACTTTTGAGAATCATTGCCTTAAAGGGCTGTTTGTTGTAGACTTTGAAGTAAGAGGGGGGAATTGTATCGCTGGATTAATTTAATTTCTCTTTAACAACACTGTGACCTTCCAGTTTAGGATTTGGGAGAAGAGTGAATGACTTTGCCTCTCAAAACAGTCTTCTTAGAAAACATACACACAAGGAGGTAAATAGAAGACAGTGGCATCGGGCATGGTGGTAAATGCCTGTAATCCGAGCAGTCTGGGAGGTTGAGGCAGGAGGATCACAAATGTGAGCCCAGCCTTTGCAATTTAGTGACACAAGGAGACAAAAGAGGGAGAGGGAGAGGGGAAGAAAGGGAAAACGTGAGAGTGAACGAGCCAGGCTGAAGGCAGCTGATTGGGAGCTGTTACTCAGATGTGCTGTGTCACATCCTTGCGCCTCTTGGTACTAACATTTACTCTGTGGTCCTTAGCAGAGCACGGTGACTATTCCATGGGTAAGGTTTTTATTTTCTGTTTCACAAGTGAGCAAATGGGGATGATCATGTATTTTTCATACTTTTTCGCTCCGGTGTCAGTCGTTCAATGACCAGCTGAGCTCAGGACTATTTTCCTAACCTTCAAATCCTTGTGACACCAACCTCCAAAGTACCTGACCAGTTCTAAAGTCCTTCTCCCAGATACCCCCACCCCCATTTTGAACATACCCGATCCTTCTTGTCACTCTGTGAAGTGATTCTGGAAACCTCTGTCATGGATGTCTTTATGAGGTGTGATCAAAACTATAGTGAATGCTGCTGAGGAGTGCCGTCCAGTGGGAAGGCAGGCTTGTCGAGTGTCACAGTGTGTCATCGTCCGCCTTGCTCTGCTGATCTGGCACCATGTGGCCGCTGGTGCTTTCTTGACACCAAGATGACCATGCAAGGTAAATGTTTTGAGTTGATTCAGGACATCAAGGCAGCAAGGACAGTGCGACTACGGACACAAAAGACGACTTCTAGAACTACTTCAGAAAGTGGCAAGAGTGATGAGAGAAATGTGTCCAAAGCAAGAGGGAGTCTTTTGAGGATGATTAATAGAAAGGTGTTTTTTACTATAATAAAATTTAAAAAAAATTTTCTTTCAAGCATTCAGCATTTATTTTTGTCATACTGCGTGTATCAGGGGACTGGGAACTTTAGCTTGAGCTACAAAAAGAGCTGTTGGGAAGATAAAGAGTGGCTGATCCATTAGTTAACTTACTCTCTACTGCCTTCCTGATGTCACCATCACGCAGGTGCTTGGAACAGGTTTCCTTGGCCAGGGCTGTGCTGTCAAACACAGCAGCCACTTAGCCACGTGTGGCTGTTGTCACATACAGTTCGGTCAGTCGAAGCGAATGTAAAGTTTAGGTCCCAGCCTCCAGACTCACAGCTGCAAGTACCTTACAAGTGGCAGCTATTGCTAGACAAGGTGAATAGAGAATATTTCAGTAATCACAGAAAGTCTGTCGGACAGGGCTGGAGAGGGCAGACGGTTGGCTTGAAGGGGAAAAGCAATGGACAGATCCTCTAGAAACTGAGTTTTGCCTTTTACCGATATCTCTAGGTAGTAGTCCTAATAGTCCTCAGAGCTTGGCAGGTATTCAGAAGCATTTACTGATGGCTGCTATCTCTTTGGTATTATGAGTCATTAATTGTTACCCACGCTGTTCTCAGAGGAAGGATACATTATAATGCTTTTAAGGATGGGTAGCCTGCACACACAAATTAAGGGTACCTTTCAAGGCCTCCAGCAGACCCCCATGTCTCGTTGAAAGTTACAGGACAGTGACTAGAAGCATAGAGCCCTGAGTCACAGTTCACTGCAGTGAAACAGCCCACTCCTACCTTCTGTGTTAGTCTGAGGTCACACTTGACCTCCACAGCCTATCACCGCTGGTTAATCCATATGTCAGCTGAGCATAACGAGGCCAATCATCCCAGCCGGTGCCTTTATGTCAAATGTATGTGAATCACACCATCTGCTTCAGAAGCAGAAAGACCTATGAGATCATCACGGCTTTGAAAATTGTTTTTCACTTTGAAAACGGGCTGCCGGCATGGGCGGGCTGAGTGGAAGGCTTCACATATCCAGATTTATAAAGCTTTCTCCTTGCCCCCTTCAAGCTAGGGCAACTTCTGATAGCATCCGGAAAAGGAATCTGCACTTGTGCCCCAGAAATGAGGGCCAGGTGTGGAGGAAACTGAAGGTTTTGTCTTACCTGAGAGGGAGAAGAGAAATGTGTCCTAGTGTCTTTGTTTGTGGAGTGTTGTTTATTTACTTATTTTTGGAGTTCCATATGCATTGACTTTATTTTATCCTCAAAATAACTCCGAAATAGGTCAGGCATTGTTATCTTTCTTGGATAAACAGGAAAAATAAATCTAGAATGTGAGAATTGACACAACCTGCCTCTTGCCCATAGTCTTAGGAAAAAAAAAAAATGGAAAACTCATTACTCTCATTCTCCTTCCCCTGCTCCCAGCAACCATTTGCCACCCAAGCTAGGGCAGCTTGGATCTGTCTGCTGTGACAGAGGAGACCTGCATGCCCTCAGGGCGGACCTAGTCTCTATGATTAGGAAGTAATCTGCCCTCAGTGTGAGGAACGTTTATTGGACCCATCTCCATACCATCAGGTGTCAGCAAAGCATTAATTATGAATTACTATGTGCTTTGTTACTTATGCTACCCAAAGAGCCCCCAAACAAATACCGCAAAGTAATAAATGTCTTTTCCCTCCTGTGCAGCAGTTAGATGTTAACCATTTTGACACTTTTAAAGGTAAAACCATATACTTGTCTTTAAAATCAGAGCCAGAGATGGTACACAGACACAATGAGGCCACAGTTCCCTCCATGGCAGAGGAAAGATTCTCAGCACCCTGCAGCTCCGAGTGTGTGTACCAAAGCAGCATGCCCTCGGGGAACAGGAGCACCAGTCCAGTAGATAAGAGCCATGGCACCAGTGGGCCTTTAGATCCAAGGCCTGGACAGTCCCAGCCAGCGTAGTATCCGGGAAGGGACCTGGGGCTTCTCCCTGAGGAAGATCTCATCTGTCTCAGAAATCTTCTTAGTGGAAGCCCCAGCCTCTGGAGTCATGGCCACAAGTTTCTACATGGTCCTAGGGCCGCCTCTCCTCAGGCTTTTGGGTGGCAGTGAAACTCCCAGGCCTGGCTATTGTTAGCCCTCTGGAGTGAACTGGCATTGTAGGGCCAGGATGGGGCTTTTTCTGAGGGGCTCTTCGCCGTGTCTTTCACAGGCTAGTGCATCTACTCTCTTCTGAGCTTGAGTTACAGTGATTGGCAGGCCAGAGAGTGCAAGAGGTTGGGAATCCCTGTCACTCTTCTGCATGCTTCCTTGTGGCTCTGCTTAGAGCAGGCCTCCCTCTGCAGTGGAGGACAGAGTCGTCTTAAAAACACTCATGTGCAAGGTGGATGGTGTCCCTGGAACACTGAGCCGTTTCCTTCAGTAGAGCCATCCAGCGAGGCAAAGAACAGACAGTGGTGTATACTTAAGTGCTGTGGGCTTTGTAAGCTTCTGAGCGCTTATTTGACTTGACCCACTTAATCTGCCTTGCAGCTCTTTGAGGTGGATGTTATCTTGTTCTTTTAAGTAACGTGGAATTTAACAGAAGGACCGTAAGTGGTGATGGGAAGTGGTGCAGCTTGTTGGTGGATGAGCTGCTGAGATTTCAGCCTGGATCAGTGTGCTTTGAGACTCACATTCTTTGCATCATGGCAGAAATTCTCCAGCTCCAAAGTGAGGAATAAA